CCATACAAAGCTAGTGTTGAGAATTTCCACAAATAAAATCAGTGGTGCAGATGAAATAGAAGCTCTTTCCAACCTATTTGGATTTCCAAATGCTATGAAATGGAGGAAATATGAAATGACCATGATACTGATTGTAATTTGCTTTGGGTTTTTTTGGTTTGGTTTAGTTAGGTTTGGGGGTTCTTTTTTTTGTTTGTTTTTTAACTGAGAAGATTTAAAGTGGATAACCAGAGGTACAATTTTCACAAGAGACTTGAAGAAGATTCTTTCCCACAATGCTCCTAGAAGTAATTCACAAAAATCTGCCATTACAACCCAATAACAAAAAAGGTCTGAATGTTCCAGAAAGAGCCAGAGATATCCTGACATGTGGTAGATACATTTATTCACAGGGAACAGGAAAGATTCTTGATTTTGACTACTAAATATTGGAGAACCATAAGCCCAGTTCTGCTTTGAATTACACTCCATTGAAATGCCACTGAAATTGCCTAACAATGACAACCCTATAAAAAATAGAAATTTTTTCTTGTCCTACTCCTTCTAGAGGCAAAAGACTAAGATAGAAGTGGCTACTAAATGAGGTTCAATGGAATGTTGGTAGAAAAATAAAACAGAAGACAGCTCTACAACTGATATCACCATTTTCTTCAGAGAATTCACATTGTGGAATGTCCCAGTGCTGCTCTTACCAACAAGCGTACTGACTGACTAACAGGATTTAACTTAGTTCTATAAATAAAACTATGGAAAGCAAAAACAGGATTTAACTTAATTCTATAAATAAAACTATGGAAAGCAAAAGTGCAAGTCTTAAAATATTAATCAAACCCACAAAAAACATAGTGATTGTGATGAATTATATATAGGGCTCAATGTCTGTCATGGAGGTCACAGACCCCCATGACTTCTGAAGAGGCCAGTGTGGCTGACCCCTGCAAACAGCTGCTGGGACAGCCCAGGGGCAGCTACATTGGTGACCGCTGTTCAGGCAGCACTGGGCGGCTGTCCCTGGCACCCCCATTAGCAGTGTCCAAAGTGGCTGGTTATGGATACCGTTTGTACAGCAGTCCTGTGGGCACAAGGAGCAGTCACAGCTCAGAGTCCCCTGTCAGTGGTCCCAGGGGTGGCTGTTAGCAGCCATTGGTTGGCAGCTAGTTCCTTCCCCCCCCCCCCGCCTTAGCAGTTGTGCTGGAACAGTTTTTGGAGTGGGGATGCTGAGCTGCACCCCTCTCATCACCATCCATGTCCCTCACCACGCCCTCTACCTTTAATCACCCTGACATCTGTTGGGAGACCAATACAGCAGTACACAGACAACCCAGGAAGTTTTTGGAGAATGTTGGGGATAACTTCTTGGTACTCCCCCCCCCCCCGCCTTAGCAGTTGTGCTGGAACAGTTTTTGGAGTGGGGATGCTGAGCTGCACCCCTCTCATCACCATCCATGTCCCTCACCACGCCCTCTACCTTTAATCACCCTGACATCTGTTGGGAGACCAATACAGCAGTACACAGACAACCCAGGAAGTTTTTGGAGAATGTTGGGGATAACTTCTTGGTACAAGTGCTGAAGGAACCGATCAGGCACCATGCGCAGCTTGACCTGCTGCTCACAAACAGGGAGGAGGAACTAGTAAGGGAAGTAGAGGTGGGTGACAACCTGGGAAGCAGTGATCATGAGACGGTAGATTTCAGGATCCTGACCAAAGGAAGAAAGGAGAATAGCAAAATACACACCCTGGACTTCAGAAGAGCAGACTTTGACTCCCTCAGAGAACTGATGGGCAGGATTCCCTGGGGGTATGTCTACACTACCCTCCTAGTTCGAACTAGGAGGGTAATGTAAAAGACACACATGCTAACAGCAAGACAATTCTGAAATGCATCAGAAGCAGGAATCCTGCCAAACAACAATGGGGCCCCTGGACGGTCGAGCTGTTAAAGGAGCACTCCAGGAATGAATTCTCTGCATCTGAACTCACAGATGGGGATGTGGGGGAGATTCCTAACCCTGAGCCAATCTTTTCCGGTGACAAACCTGAGGAATTGTCCCAGATTGAAGTATCAACGGAAGAGGCTTTGGAACAAATCGGGTAATGTTGCGCCAATTTTTATAAAAGGCTCCAGAGCCAATCCTGGCAATTATAGGCCAGTAAGAATGGAATGATGACAGCAAAGAACAGAATTATCAGACACAGATGAACACAATATGTTGGGGAAAAGTCAACTCTGCTTTTGTAAAGGAAAATCATGCCTCTGGACTGTTAGGCTGTGTCTACACTGGGCCACTTATTCCGGAAAAGCAGCCGCTTTTCCGGAATAAACTGCGAGCTGTCTACACTGGCCGCTTGCTTTTCCGGAAAAGCAATGACGATCTACTGTAAAATTGTCAGTGTTTTTCTGGAAAAACTATGCTGCTCCCGTTCGGGCAAAAGTCCTTTTCCGGAAAAACTGTTCCGGAATAGGGCCAGTGTAGACAGCACAGTAGTCTTTTCCACAAAAAAGCCCCGATCTTTTCCGGAAAAGCATCCTGCCAATGTAGATGTAGCCACTGTTTTCTTTGCCTCTGTTTTCACGGCCAAGGCCAGCTCCCAGACAAATGCACTTGGCAATACAGCATGGGAAGGAGGTGGACAGCCCTTGGTGGGGAAAGAACAAGTTAGTAACTATTTAGAAAAGCTAGACATACACAAATCCATGGGTCCGGATTTAATGCATCCGCGAGGGTACTGAGGGAGTTGGCAAATGTCATTGCAGAGCCTTTGGCCAATATCTTTGAAAACTCATGGAGATTGGAAGAGATCCTGGATGACTGGAAAAAGGCAAATGTAGTGCCCATCTTTAAAAAAGGGAAGAAGGACAATCCAGGGAACTACACACCTGTCAGCCTTACCTCAGTCCCTGGAAAAACCATGGAGGGGAACTTCAAGGAATCCATTTTGAAGCACATGGAAGAGAGGAAAGTGATCAGGAATAGTCAATAAAGGGCAAGTTGTGGCTGACCAGTCTGATTAGCTTCTATGATGAGGTAACTGGCTCTGTGGATATGGGGAAGTCAGTGGATGTGATATACCTTAACTTTAGCCAAACTTTTGATACTGTCTCCCATAATATTCTTGCCAGAAAGTTAAGGGAGTATGGATTGGATAAATGGACAGTAAGATGGATAGAAAGCTGGCTAGAATGTTGGGCCCAATGGTTAGTGATCAACGGCTCACTGTCAGGCTGGCAGCTGGTTTCTAGCAATGTGCCCCAAAGATCTGTTCTTGGACCAGTTTTGTTCAACAGCTTTATTAATGACCCAGATGAGGGGATGGATTGCACCCTCAGCAAGTTTGCAAATGACACTAAGCTAGGGGGAGAGGTAGATATGCCGGAGGGCTGGGATAGGGTCCAGAGTGACCGGAACAGATTAGAGGATTGGGCCAAAAGAAATCTGATGAGGTTCAACAAGGACAAATGTAGAGTCCTGCACTTGGGATGGAAGAATCCCAAGCATTGTTACAGGCTGGGGACTGAATGGCTAAGTAGCAGTTCAACAGAAAAGGACCTGGGGATTACAGTGGATGAAAAGATGGATATGAGTCAAAGTGATTATTCCCCTTTATTCAGCTCTGGTGAGGCCACATCTAGAATATTGTGTCCAGTTCTGGGCCCCCCACTATAGAAAGGATGTGGAAGTATTGGAGAGGGTCCAGTGGAGAGTGACCAAAATGAATAGGGGGCTGGAGCACATGACCTATGAGGAGAGACTGAAGGATTTGGGTTTGCTTAGTCTGCAGAAGAGAAGAATGAGGGGGGATTTGATAACAACCTTCAACTTCCTGAAGGGAGGTTCCAAAGAGGATGGAGAGAGGCTGTTCACAGTAGTGACGGATGGCAGAACAAAGAGCAATGGTCTCAAGTTACAGTGGGAAAGGTCTAGGTTGAACATTAGGGAAAACTATTTCACTCGGAGGGTAGTGAAGCACTTGAATGGGTTATCTAGGGAGGTGGTGGAATCTCCATCCCTAGAGGTATTTAAGGCTCAGCTTGACAAAGCCCTGGCTGGGTTGATTTAGTTGGGATTGGTCCTGCCTTGGCCAGGGGGCTGGACTTGATGACCTCCTGAGGTCTCTTCCAGCTCTATGATTCTGTAACCTCTTGCTGGGAGAGGGCTATAGCTCTAGGAAAGGGGGCTGTAGATAGGGGTAAGGTGGCAGAGGCTGGGGAGCCATGGGCATGAGGTTGGCAGCTTGGAGCCCCTTCTCCCTGGTGGTCGGGCAGATTCCTAGGGCCAGTGGTACAGCCTCAAGGTGCAGGGATGATGGCCGAGCAGGAACTCAAGCCAGAAGTGGGACCCTGGGGCCAGCAGCTGGGCAAGACCGTAGGGTCAACAACATGGACCTTGACAATGGGGTCAGCAACTAAGATGCTGGGTGGGAAATGGGGAGTGCTGCAGGACCCTCTACTCCTCCACACACACACCACTACTTCCCACATACTCACCATACACCCCATCCCCAGCTGTGGCTTCAAAGGAAGCTCCCAGATCAGTGGCCCCCCCACAGCTAAGTTTTAATCAGTAAATTCATTGTACAAGTCATAGACATGTCACAGGCCATGAATTTTTATTTATTGCCCATTGCCTGTCTATGTCTGTAGCTAAAATTATCCCTAAGTAAACCGTATTCTTAAATTATAAGCAGCAGATCCTAAAAGTTGTATTTATGTTCTCAAAACACAAAACTAAGAGACATGTTTTAGGCAAAGGACAATGACAAGTAATAACAGAACTTAAAAAATAATGACACAACTTCTTCTCTCCCACCTCTCAAATTATTCATGGTCAGTTTCTGCAATGTGACTTGAAAAACCCTCAAAATCAAATTGACAAGATGTAAATCAGTATTTGACCTGTTTCCTATAATGGCTCACATTATAACCTCAAGGAGAAGAAGATAAGTGGTGATCAAGTAGTCTGTATCTCACCTCAGTTCTAGTGCCAAGTTTTACTTACCAATCTTGCACAGCATTGAAGGATTCTTCATTCGTGATGTCATACATTAAAATGAAGCCCATTGCGCCCCGGTAATATGCTGTGGTAATTGTCCTATATCTCTCCTGACCTGCCGTGTCCTAAAACAACAACAAAAATTCTTTTATATAAAAGTTTCCTTGTTAAGTGATTTCTATCTTTCTGAAACTCAGAAGTGAACTTGGTAAAACTCATCTTCACACTTTTGAAAATCCACTCGTATCACTGGGCAGCTATTTGTTCTCTTTTTAATAAAGTGATGAAGGACTGTCCTGTGGTTAAGCACTAGACTGAAACTTAGCAGATTTTGCTTTTTCTAGCTCTCCCACTCAATTCAAATCTGTCTCTCATTATCCCCATTTTACAAGTGGGAGAATAATTCTTCCATTCAGACATAGCCTTTGTCTGTTTACATTGTAAGCACTTTGGGACAGGAACTGCCACTTATATTAATATGGAATGCCCATATTCCATGGTTGAGGATTTATGGGTCTTCTTTTACAAAAATTCTAATAATAAAAATTAAAATATATTATAAGAAATAATATAATTATTCACTCTTCCAAAATAAAACTTTTGTATTTTTAAGACCCCAATCTCTTAAATTTTGCAGAAATAGAATATTTCAGTGAAATGCCATCAAACAATGTCCGGTATGAATTTTATACAGCTAGTGCATCATTGACTGAAGAAGATTATGGTTTGTTTTTTAAACAAATGCTAGAAGGTAATTATATCATCTCAAAATATTAATAGTTCAAAAAATCATTTGTGCTAAAATATGGACAGGACACCTTCAGCTGTCTCCCTAGTAAAAAAAATAAAACAATGACAAATATTGTGTTAATTAAGAATATTTTCTAAAATAGTTCCTGTGGTGCAAATGTCACCTCATTAGAGAAAATATATTAAATGCGTGTACTTTTCTACATGTACATCAATGATCCTACAAATAAAGAAGAAATTAGATTTCCCCCCATTTCATAAAGCAATTATTAGAAGATCATTTTAAAAAATGTGACAGAAGCAATTGCTTAGGCAGAACAGTAGGATATTCAGGTCAGATTAAAATTAAACCTAGGCTAGTGTTCATAATGGTCTTGCATTGAAAACAAGCATACAAAGAGAGAGCTTGAAACATCCTTTATTTATCCTAAACGTACTCCCAGGCTACGTCTACATTGGCATGATCTTGCACAACGAGTTCTTGCGTTAAAGTATTTGCGCAAGAGAGCGTCTACACTGGCATGTGCCTTTGCGCAAGAGCATCTGTGCCAGTGTAGATGCTCTCTTGTGCAAGAAAGCTCCGATGGCCATTTTAGCCATCGGGCTTTCTTGAGCAAGAAATTCATGTTGCCTGTCTACACTGGCCTCTTGCTCAAGAACAGTTGCGCAAGAGGGCTTATTCCTGAGCAGGAGCATCATAGTTCTTGCGCAAGAAGCACTGATTTCACACATTAGAACGTCAGTGTTCTTGCGCAAGAACTCCCCGCCAGTGTAGACAGGCAACATGTTTTTGCACAAAAGTGGCCGCTTTGGCGCAAGATCGCGCCAATGTAGGCACAGCCCCAGAGTAACCACAACTTCAGTAGAGTTACTCCTCATTTACACCAGCATGAGAGGAAATCAGGACTTCGATGTAGAAATACAATTTCCCATGAGACTTCATTGTTCAAGATATACCAGCTAGCTTCATGCATTAGAACCTATCTATAATAGGCTAGCATTGCCCATAGAGCACAGTCTTCAATAGCTTCCACGGGATGTGTCTACACAGCAAAGTTATTTTGGAATAATGGCAGTTATTCTGAAATAACTATGCGAACATCTACACAGCAATTCCGTTATTTCAAAATAATGGATGGCTTATTCCGACGTCTGTAAACCTCATTCTATGAAAAATAACGCCTATTCTGAAATAGCTATTTCAAAATAAGTCATGTGTAGACGCTCTACTTCTGCTATTTCAAAATAGCACTTCACCAGGGCCATTCTAAGTTATTCCTCCTGGGGCTATAAATCAAGACAGCACATCTACATTAGGGAAGCCTGCCTCAGACTAATTTTGAGACTTCCCTGCAGTGTAGATGTTCTATTTCAAAATAAGCTATTTTGGAATAACAATTCTGGAATATCTTATTCTGAAATAACTCGGCAGTGTACACGTTCCCATGGTGTAGTTTACAAAAGGGAAAGTACCCGACTGAGAAGCACACCAGCATGGAGCATCTCTGGCAAGGTCTAAATGTGAAAATTGCAATGCCTCTAGTTTGGGGTTAGTTCTAAAAGTTTAGAGATGAACTCATGGGATTGGGAACTCATGAGAACTGAATTTAAGAAAAGATTTAACGAAACAAAAGCCACAGAGTTTCATAGAGTTCTATTTTATAGTTCTACTGATATTTGTGTTCATGTGTCAGTCACATAGTGAAACACAATGCTGTGCCATCCCCAAATGGGCCCAATGAAACTATTAAGGTTTACTAAAGAGTTGTAAGAGACAACAGAAATGAGAATACTATTGAGAGTTTCACATTATAGGCATCTGAAAACTAGAAAAATCAGGCTTATTTATGGATACCCATCTATATCATATGTTGAAAACTCATTTTAGAAAGACTGCTTTTCTAAACACTTCCATGTAAAACCAGAAATGGGTTCATGCTAAAGACTAAGATCTGACAACCCCCAAACATTGACCCAGTTCTGATCTTCATGAACTTTGTCCATAAATGACTGAACAAAAAATCTATGTCCAAGACAGCATCCTCTACCTTAAACCTGGCAAAGCTTCTAAATCCAGATCAGCAACTGAGGCCCATCTTTATATAAAATTAATTATCTGAAACCTTTAGTCCCTTTGTTTCCAGCTTTTTCTTTTATGCATATTTCAAGTTTGACAAAGCTGAGAAAGCTTAGGCCTATATACAGAAGGTCCCTAAAATACTGTCTATGAAGTTATCAAAATCTTTGATATAGAGCTTACTGTCTTGATGTCTTATTAGAATTTTTTACCATATGTTTGTATACAGGTATTTGTGTGATTTGTCTTCAACAAAATAATATTTACTTCTGTTTGTCAAACTAAAATATTTCCCACACACAAATTTCAGATTGACAGACAGGTAGTCAGTCACTGTCAAAGTAACTGGATTCCATACCTATTCTGGACAGTAATAGTGTAAAACTTATGCAGGATAGACTTTTACTGTAATAGTAATAAAGGGAATTAAGCCAATAAAACTATGGCAAAATTAAAGCTTTTCTTTTGAAAGAAATATAAGGAAACTTTTTAAACACGAAGGAAATAAGGTGATAGTCCTTTCTCTAATATTGAGGGATACCTTGGCTTTCTTGTCTGGGTGAGGAGATAAATAAGAAATATGAAGGCATAACTGTAACAGGAACATATTGAGAAATGCACCTGGCTTATGAGATCTTTAGAAAATACAAGAGCACAGCACAATTGACTCCCACTCCAAAGGGGATTTTCAAATAGATAGTAGATGATAACTGGTACTGTTAAGTATCTCATGTTACAGCATTCTTCCACCTGATTATTCTGCAATCAAGATAATTTAAACAAATAACTCATTTAAAACTAGAAGAACGTCATTGCTCATTTCCAAATCAGCAATGTACAGTATTTGTACATACACTATTTACACTGGAGAATTTTTTGAATATGCTATTAACTTTAGCCATTATGTAAATCCTGCAAAACAGGAAGATTTATATTTGACCTTTATACACTTTTAAAACTACTGAAAATCTGCTTCATACTTAATTTGTTTCATATAGTTCCTTGAAATATAAAAATCAAGCCAATTATTACTGCCATAATTTTACTGCATGTTAAGTTGCAAATTAATTTCCAGTTTACATAATGGTACATTATATGCTTTCTTACATGCCAAATAATTTATGATCTTAGAAAGAGGTCACATTTTAAAGGACTACATGTGAGGAGGCAGAATTAAGGTTCAGTCAGGACTCTTAATTCTGTATTAGCTTACTTTTAAGAGTTTGTCTAAATCTTGACATTTAATTAAGAGTGGAATATACATTAAAGTTAATTAAATAACCCCTTTATTAAGAGTACACTAAAGTTGTAAAGTCAAGCACTCAAAAGTTAGAAAACGCCAGAATTAAGGTTGTCAATGCAACCTTTACACATATGGGGGATGCATATGCATTATGAGCTGTGCTATTAATTCCATAATCACATTCTATTGTTTTCCACAGGATCCATTCAGTGCTCATGATGGACGTTGCTCAGGGAATGAATCAGGGGTGACTAGTGAATGAGACTGTTGTCTGCAGGGCCCATCCCAAGCAGAACTGACAGCATAACAGCGTGACAATTTCCTTCTTCTCTGTTCTGGTGTCGCAGTGGCCTACATTGCCAAGAGCAGCAAATGCTCTTGTTCAGCCCAGAAAGCAAAATGTTCATTCTCTGTGTGGGATGATGCATGTGCATTCCAGCCAATACAAAATGCTGCAAGATGGAGCAAGCTCATTGCAGACAGAATCTTCAGAAAATGATGCTGCCAGCCTCTAACAAAACTCTGGTGAGCAGGTGCAAACTGCAATTCTCAGAGGGTCATAATCTGAGTGGAATTTCCCAAGGACAGAAGAGGTATCCCTCAAATCATGGTGACCCTACCCCCCACCTCCACTTCCAAAGTGTCAAGCCTCTGTTTGAAAATGCTATGACACTATAGTGTCACACTGCAATGGACGTACTTTTTTTTTCTTTTTAAACTTGGACAAAATACTGAATGTTTCCCTAACCTCATTCTAGGAAATGGCTGAACTGTTTTTGGTGAAGCTTTCAAAAATATTCAGCTTAAGATAGACATCAGGCATGGAAAACTGAATTTTAGCCCACATGGTTTAAGTCTAGCAAGGTTAAGCACAAGTGAAAATAGGGTCTTATAACAGAAAGCGGTAGGCAACCTTAGCAATAGGCCAGCCCCATCACTAATACAATCAACAAATATATCAATATGAAAACCAGTCAGATATGTTACCAAAAAAAATGGTCATATGGAATGGTTATGACATTTACAGAGATAGAGAGAGGTTACAAAGAATTTGT